TCCTTTAATGTTCATAGCACCAACCATTCTGGATATGTAAGGCGATATGTGTGTTCGTGATTACTGCAGATACATTAACGATGACCATGTTTATCCCATAAATTTGGAAAAATGTAAGTGCTCCATCAACGATATCTTGTGGCCCATTTATACAACGGTAGTGTGTTTGTCGTGCATTATTGAGAATTTATTTCTTGAGCGAGTATCGACTGAATATTAACTGAATGTTCACTATAAATATTGTATGCATTGTTTTCAGAGGGTACGTCGCACCCCCCTCTCCTTCAATTGGAGGGAGCACCAGAGCACTGCATCGTTTAGTTTGGTGTGGGACTTCAGGCATAATAACCAAAGAAGGGTTATTAGGGCCACAATATTAGCATACTTTTGTTTTTTTCGCCACTCAGTGGCGCACGAGCGCGTCACTAACTTTTGTTCGGGTTCCGCAAAGCTGACTCTGACGGGAGTCACGATAATAAATATTTGTATAAATTCCAATTTCGATCCGATCTACGTGAGAATAGTTTAGAAATGGTCGCCATGAAATTTACGTTCTCTCTAATAGCCGAAGAGCTGATTTAGGAGAACGGCATGGCAGTGAATCATCGTAGTAAAACAATTGTATTATTGACACGACGAGTATGATCGACGTATTTTTTATATTTGTTGCCGGTCGAACGCATCCTTATGTGACGTTTTATACTTATGTTCTTCTAGAACATTTTATTGCGAATACATTGATATAAAAATGAAATACGTGCATCGAAAAATAATGTCAGGACAGTGAAATAAATATACACTTTTCGATGTGGTTTCGCCGATAGGCTGCCGCGGGTAACACTTCGGCCTCTTCCCACACTCTTGTGGGTCGGTTGCGACATTGATTCTATATTTATATGCATATGTCCGTGTTGAAAATTTCATTGCGATTTCAGTGATACCATAATTAAGCCTGTAGGACAAGTGTGGAGTTGAAAATCCTGAAGAGAGTAGAAACATTTCGTTGCTGTCTGGCGCTCACGGCTAGTCATCGACGTAGTTTTTTATTTGGTGCTGATCTAACTTATACTTTGGTGACATTTTTTACTTATGTTCTTCTAGAACATTCTATTGCGAGCACATCGGTACAAAAATGAAATACGTACATCGAAAATTAACGTCAGGACAGTCAAAAGAGTATACAATTTTAAATGTTGCCGCTCGATCGCCAAAACGAGGATTTCACTTGGTTTTTTCAAACGCCGTTTCGCGAAAGTGTTATATGCATTGTTTTCAGAGGGTACGTCGCACCTCCCCCCCCCCCCCCCCTCTCCCTTCAATTGGAGGGAGCACCAGAGCACTGCATCGTTTAGTTTGGTGTGGGACTTCAGGCCTAATAACCACAGAAGGGTTATTAGAGCCACAATATTAGCATACTTTTGTTTTTATATCAGAGTTTTGAGTATAGTTGTTATGACCACTCTTAGCCCGTAACCGGGTTCTTTACTTTATACTCTTTATATGAGGCCCTAGTGCCCCTTCTTACACGATCCCACCCTGAGTCATAGTTAAGTTATCCATAACTGAAAGTAAATGACTAATAAAAATTCGTGAAAGGAAAAAATGGGGTAAACCATAATAAATAGAACCTTCAAGTGGACCTCTTAAATTGATGTACATATATGTACATACTATACCATCACACTGCTAGTGTCACATTTGCACAGGACACTAAAACTCCCATAATCTACTTTTCCCGGCGAGCCCACTTTGTCAGAAGGGCAGAAGTCTCCAGCAACACGCTGGCAGAAGTCTCCAGCGACACGCTGGCAGAATTCTACAGCGACACACTGGCAGAAGTCTCCAGCGACATGCTGGCAGAAGTCTCCAGCGACACGCTGGCAGAAGTCTCCAGCGACACGCTGGCAGAAGTCTCCAGCGACACGCTGACAGAAGTCTCTAGCAACACGCTGGCAGAAGTCTCCAGCGACATGCTGGCAGAAGTCTCCAGCGACATGCTGGTAGAAGTCTCCAGCAACACGCTGGCAGTTCCGCGAAGTCTCCAGCGACACGCTGGCAGAAGTCTCCAGCGACACGCTGGCAGAAGTCTCTAGCAACATGCTGGCAGAAGTCTCCAGCGACACGCTGGCAGAAGTCTCCAGCGACACGCTGGCAGAAGTCTACAGCGACAGGCTGGCAGACGTCTCCAGCGACATGCTGGCAGAAGTCTCCAGCGACACACTGGCAGAACGCCACACAAGCTTACAACAATTAACTGCCAGTATTTCCGTCTCGTAACTCAATCTGGCCATCCTGGGTTACATTGGTTCAATCAACAATAATTTGCTAAGTATCTCAAGACAAGTCATTGTCTATACCGTCACAGCCATTTGATTATTTCCTCTGGAACACGTCTTGAGTCCAGGACTGTCCTGGGTGAACTGAATCCTGTTGACCAAAATATTCTCTACATCACTTCTGCAGACAAAAATGGGATTAGCCAGACAAACTTCACGGGAAGAAATACGATCACATCCTTCCACTAGGTAACAGAAAATGAGGGTCAGTGAGGAGAGGGGGAGGGTGCTCAACAGATGCCGTTGTCATTCTCTTTCCACCTTCAACAGATGGCTTTGCCATTGCTACACCTCCCTTAACAGATGGTGTTATGTTTGTCACACCACCCTCAACAGATGGCATTGTCATTGACACATCTTCCTTGTTATGACCCCAAACTTCATGTAAATATTGGTGTTAGTGTATGTGGAGGTCATAAGCTCAGTCACTTATTTTTCGTTAGCTCACTCTTGTAGAAATATTATTGTACAGAATAACAGACGTTTAGGTTCATACACATATATTTAAGGTATGTATATATGGTGAATAAGTCATAACAACTGGTGACCGCATAACTGCTGGAACTCCTCCATTATCCAAGACCCTTGGTGAACGTCTCCAGCATGTGTACCAAATATATAAAAATGACTTCCTTATGTGTTCACGCATATTGACGTATATGCTTCAGTACCTTGAGGTTTTGTATATATGATATATTTTATTATGTATATCTGTATGGACTTGTTGAAAATATGCCCACTGTGTTAATCTGTTATTTGTAAGACGAAGGGTGGAGTGACTTGCCATGTTGGCAACACAGTCATTCTCAGCCGTCCAGGCCACTGGCAAGTCACTGGCTCCCTAATTTCCCAGAGAGACAGACGTCAAATGTCTAGTCCTCTGGTTGTATCTTATATTGTGGACTTATTTCATAACTAGCAGTACCTGGTCACGCGTTGCTGAGCCTCAGCAACCTTCCCTGTCCCCCAGTCTTCCCCACCATTCCCCCCTCACCCGTCTCGGCCTCGCAACCATTCCCCACTCCACCGTCCCCTCGTCCTTCCCACCATTTCCCCCTCCACCATCCCCTCTTCCTTCCCACCATGTCCCACTCCCCTGTCGCTTTGTCCTCCCCATCATTCCCACATCCCTCTCGTACCCATCATCCCAAACTCCCCCGTCCCCTCGTCCTTCCTCACAATTACCCCCTCCCTTGTCCCCTCGTCCTCCCCACCATCTCTAATTTCCGTCCCCTCGTCATCCCAACCATTCCCCACTCTCTCGTTCGATGCCTTCCCAAATGGTCTGATGTTCCCATCAGAAAATTGGGGACATCAAGTGATATGATGTTCCCATCGCTGAAATATAAGAAAAACAGTTAAAAAATGAAATGAAAATATGAAAAAATATAAAAATAAACTATACTCACGGAGTGAACGGTCTTGTAAACAACACTGCTCAATTCCAATGCAATGTCACACAAAATAATTCACTAAAAATAAAATAAATCAAAATCGATGAAAATAAAATTTATCAATGCAATCGGAAACATTGAAATGGAATTCGTGATATATTTAGTATAGCGTGCATGTTGCCATTATGTGCAACAGATAGCGCTGTTTTTCAAAAAACACATGTTTTTACCTGTCACAATGGTGGCATCTATATAGTAGGTATATAAAAAGACGCGCCTATTCGAATGCAACGTTGTGTCAAAATTTCAAAGCAATCGGTGAAGAACTTTCGGAGATTACATCGTGTGTTGCTCTTACGTCCAACAGATAGCACTGTTTTTCAATAAAAGCATGTTTTTTCCTGTCACAGGTGAGGTATGTATATAGTAGATTTATAAAAAGACGCGCCTATTCGAATGCAACGTTGTATCAAAATTTCAAAGCAATCGGTAAAGAGGATTCGAAGATTTCCCTCACATGAAAAACAGTTATTCAGAAAAAGCATGTTTTTAGACCGTCACAGACGTGACATCTATATAGTATGTATATAAAAACCTTGCGGGAGGCGAATGGAACGTTTTATGAAAATTTCAAAGCAATCGGTCAAGAACGTTCGGAGATTAGCGATTTTGAACAAACGAACATTTCCATTTTTATTTATATAGATGTTGAGTTTCCGAGAGTAATGCTATTTAAAGGGATCAGGCTAACCGAGTTATCAGTAGGTCGAGATAGTGGATGATTGTTGGTACTTAAGGATTATAGAGTAATGTTGTAGTGTTACAGAATGTGACTGATTCCTTTGCCCACCTTTATGTGTCACCCTTCCCAAGTGTTATGTAGGTGGAGCCTGGTATCAGCCATACCTATGTTTAAGCCGTTACTGATATGATAGCTGATTTATTATTGATTTGTTACAAAGTTACTAAGTGATGTGTAGGTTAACTTATTTGATAGTTGACTGAGTTTGAGACTATATTGATTGCTGATTTGCTAGTTGACAGTTGAGTGATAATTGGTTTATGACTAGTTGAGCCGTGTATTGAAGCTCTCTTCTTTCTGATGAAAGTATCAGCTTTAGTGTGCATCAGTTATGTATATATGTAAGTTTTACGGTGACCTAATTATATGCCCAAGTAAACTGGCGTTGTTTTAACCAGCCATTTTTATTAATTCCCCTAGACTCTTGATTGAAATTGACCAGGCTTGGGTTGGCCAGCGATGCTGTGTTCATGAGGTCATGACAACAGATGGTGTCCTTATTTTCTCACCTCCCTCAACAGACGGCATTTTCTTTGTTACTCCTCCCTCAACAGATGGTGTTCTCATTGTCACACCTCCTTTAACAGATGGTGTCCTCATTGTCACACATTCCTCAACAGATGGTGTTCTCATTGTCACACCTCCCTCAACAGATGGTGTTCTCATTGTCACACCTCCTTTAACAGATGGTATCCTCATTGTCACACATTCCTCAACAGATGGTGTTCTCATTGTCACACCTCCCTCAACAGATGGTGTTCTCATTGTCACACCTCCCTCAACAGATGGTGTCCTCATTGTCACACCTTCTTCAACAGATGGTGTCCTCATTGTCACACCTCCCTCTACAGATGGTGTCCTCATTGTCACACCTCCCTGTCAGGGGACATATTTTCCCTGCTCTCTCGTGCACTGAATTAAGTACGAAATTGCACAGTGCACCAGTGATGTGCACCGTGATTCAACTTTCAGAATATAACTTTTCCACAGTCGTGTTGGGTGTCGTTGGGCAGCCCATGACATTTGCTAGCCATTGATGTCATTCTGATCGCTGTATCAGGTCTGCGAAGGAAATTACAGGAGGGAGTTGATTTCAAAGAATGTTTTGTACAAGTCAAATGTAGAGAGGGAGGTATGGGGGGTTAACGGCCGTAGACCACCCCCCTATCACGTGTCCACCTCGTGTGAGTGGGGGTAGCGTCACGGGGCAGGTGCGGGAGTGGCTGAGGGCCTGGGGCCTCAGAAATGCTGAACCGTGATTGGCCAAGACGCTGAGGGGTGCCGCATGGTACCTCCAGGCATAGTATTGGCGGGAACGACATTCTTACCTTGGCCATTGCACCCTGAGGACAGGACATTTCCCATGCTAGGCCAAGCATCGGGAAATATCCGCCTGCAACGTTGCTAAAGTCACGCCAACATCTTGCTATCTTTCCGTGTGCCGTGCGTAAGAATCCGGTAATCAGGAAGGGGCTTGTATCGAGCCGTGTGAACTTGTCCTCTAGCCGCGTAATTGTGGGACGCCATCTTAGAGGAACTGGACTGAGAGTGAGGCGTTAATTATCGGGCTACAAAAACGACATCCGCCGTCGATCGTATCTGTGCTTGAAGATACTGCTGTGAGACGTGCTAGAAAGGGTTTCAGTGTTATGAGAGAAACCTTAAATGTTATAATTCTGAGGAACAGTGAAGGACTCCATCTCGTGTACCGTCGTAACACCGTGTACCGTCGTATCCTGGGGTACCGTGTCAAGTGGAAGGGGCGTGGTACCGCATCCCTGCTGTTGTGCGCAACCTTGGCTGCCTGTGCAGGTGTATCTGCGCCATCCTGGTCTCTGTGTGTGTGTAGAGCTAACACCCCGTGGTCTAGGACCCTGTGCTCCACCTGACCACGTGTAGGAAGTGAGGACGCCTACGTCATCATCCAGCAGCAGCAGTGGGAGTGTGATTGACGTGTATGTGTGAGTGAAAGAGGGGCCCCACATCATTAATGTAAGTACACTGTTTCCGTTTGGGTAATAAAACTCTGAAGCTGGGTTCGCCCCCAGTGTCCGTCTGTCCTCTGTCCCTGGGACCACCTGGGGAGGTGAATGGGAATTGGAGACGTGTGAGTCTACCCTGTTTGTCATCAAGTTGAGGATTGGGCCCAACTGTGATTTTTGACGTGTGTGAAGACACCTAGTGACACATTCAGAGGTAGGGTAAAGTGAGTTATTTACTTCTATTATTTTTCTACGTGTCGTGTATGTATTCGCTGTAATTTGATTCCCTTTTTCAGCAGTGAAAAGTGGTAACAGGGAGATTTCCCTTGGTTATATATTTTACTGTTGTGTTGTGGTAAAGTGTGAATTATTGGTGGATAATTTACTGGGGGAAGTCATTTACAAGTTTGCTGTGAGTGGCAAGGATGTACTGGGTTGTACTGTGATGTACTGTGTTGTACCGTGTGTAAACCGTAGACAAGTTTGACCTTGGTGGAAGGCGTTGTGTACTGTGAAGGATTCCGTGAGAATTAAAGTCAGTTAACGTCACCGGGGGTCACGATTTACTTAACGAGGTCACTTGTTCGTTGAACATTGTTGTGATAACGTAGGGACGTGTAAAGGCAACAGTCACAGTGAAGTTCACACAGTGGAGGAATTGTCAAGTGAAGACTAACGTAGTGTTAACGATTTAACGAGCTGTCGTTAATTGAGTAATTAACATAAGGGGTTGACGGTCTGTATGATCGGAGTCAATTGCGCTGTAATTAGCTGTTGTAATTCGTTGGACTGATCAGATCTGTCGGCGGACAGAGTGATTAAGCACTCGTAGCTAATTAAAGATAATTAGTAATCGCCACTTAGTGAATTCACCAGGTGTTGATGTTGTTGTTTACACGGAGTATTGGAACATTGTGTGTGGTACAGTAGTCTACCCTCGTTAAGGTAATCTTGTCGTAAGACCGGAAGTGAACTGTCAGTTGAGAGACAGTTGGCTTTATCAATACTCGTCTGAATTAATAGGCTGTTGTATTCAGTAATTAATTGGGAATTACTCACCGAATGCTTGACTTTCAAGTTGATGTAATTAATTGATTTACGAGTTATTGATGCCATTTAAGTGTCGTTGAGACACGTGTGTATTAACGTAATTGTTTAAATTCAATTAGAGTAACTTTTGTTTTGATTGTCCTGAGAGACAAGTGTTAACGTAAGATTTTTATAAGGGGTTATCATTCTTGGATTAATCGCCTTGTTACTTGGTATCTCGTTGTGGGCAGCGAGCGCCAGTCAAGTTTTTGTGATTATAGTATTGGTCACCGTGAAGCCGTGACAATATTGATTGCAAGCTTGCGTCACCAGTGGGCACCACTTTGTTCAGTTAGTGTCATAAGTCAGTCAGCGACGACGGGATAAGGAGACCGTGGGTCCATCAGGCTGTTGATTAGCTGTACTTTAATGTGCCACTGGAGTGACAGTAAAGTAACGTAAATTCACTGTGTAGTAGTTTTAGTTCTTGTTTTGTGAATAAATTGTTGTGTTATAGAAACGGTCGTTTACGTCAAACCTTCCAATATTTCTGCCCCACATTTCATGTTCTGCAACGCTTTGCCTGCTTATGTTCATATCAAGTCTGTATCTAAAGCTCGAGTCCATTGCACAGCACCACACTTCTATAAATAAGAGGTGAGAATCCGTCGGCTACCCTTTATTAGTTGTTAACTAGGAGGAGCCAGCGACCTAAGTGACAGGTGTTACCCGTGTGGTTTCACTTGGCGGTTTGCTCCCGCGGTCCTATGATCTTAGGCTTTAAGATTAAATATCTGCCACTGGCAGCTCTTGCTGTTTAAGGTCTGCCTCTCTTGCGAGGTAGTTACGATTAACGTAACATCAATAGGACTTAATTCTTTGATAACCTGTCAAGAAAATAAATCTCACACTCCCTTAACAGATGGTGTCCTCATTGTCACACCTTCCTCTACAGGTGGTGTCCTCATTGTCACACCTTCCTCTACAGGTGGTGTCCTCATTGTCACACCTTCCTCTCCAGGTGGTTTCCTCATTGTCACACCTTCCTCTACAGGTGGTGTCCAATTTTCACAATTCCCTTAACAAATACCGTCACAGTTATGCTTTTCAGATAGATTTGGTTAGATCAAATTCTTATGTTCTGTTTGTGAAAATATTTTCTTTGGATCATGTGGGTAAAACATCAGAGAATGTGGTATTGGAACATAGGATTTAAGAGAAGCACTTTTCGAACATAATTAGTTGTGATTCATGAGTAAAGTGTTTTCATTAAAAGCCACTTAACTCATTGGGTAAAGTGGGAGTTTGGGGTTTTGTGACGATACTGACGAGCATATTGTCTTTTCTTTAATGATGTGCTGATCATTAGTGTAGGCTGACAGCCACACCCCCATAATCCTGTATGTGCAACACTTTCCTCAGATTATGTTCGTCCAATCTGCGGCTAACCACAAAAAGCTTATTCTGATTTGTTTACATAATGAATAATAATAACAATATATATTTTATGAAATAAAAATAATTTTTAGGATAAGTGTTTAGGTTCTGTTAGGTAATTATTTGTTTTGTAGAACATATTTATAGTCACACTAGATGATGCATGTGAAGAGCTATTTCATGAAAATTTAAGTGTCATCAGTTGGGAGTCCGTTCTGTCTGTTCAAACAAAGGCAAAATGCTCGTTAAGAGCACGCCAGAGGTCGGTAAATTTAATGGATAAAACAATTTATTTTTTAAAGGTAATAGCTGTAAAATATCTTCATGAATTTGACAACATTCTCGCAAAAAATTAAGATACTCTGGTAATTGTACGTGTAGTTTTCACCGTTTGCCAAACAAAAGTATTAGATTGGTGCTCAAATGACAATTCAGCACATAATTTTCACAAAAAATATATAAAACTGTGTTGAACGACAACCCCCCCCCCCCCCTTTGGCCTACGAGATACTACATGTTGTATGAGACAGTCAGTATACCGCAACCAGTCGTGGAGGAAGGGTTACCTTCTGCTTCTCTGAATAAAGCTCTTCCAGGTACGTTTTCCACAATTATATCTTAATGGGAAAATCATTTGCAGCAATGAGGTGATTCAAACCACCAATGAAGGTATTCCCAGCAACACAACTTACCCCTGAACACGGTTAAATTAAACAATCTGGGATTCTGATACCAAAGGAAGTCTGGAGGTCCTTAATGAAACCTGTCCAAGTTTTACATGTAAGGGGGCCCAGTGCATGGGCACCGAAACTTCCTCATACACACTCAATTTTTTGTGCTTAATCCGCATGGCAAATGCTCTAACTTTTCCTTATAAATCAACATCACAACATGAACGAAAAAAAGTTAAAAACAAAAAACGAAAAAAAGATAAAAATTCACAAATTCAAATTGCTATAAATATCTTATATCACCAATTGTTATTTTATTCATTATGGTCTCAGAATGGTATATAACGTTCAATTGCTAGTGAGCAAATTATTGTTTTAGAGCATAGTTTACTGTAAAAGGTTTTTGAATGTGGCCATCCAAATATGTGCCAATTTTTTACACAAAATATTTATAACTCCAAACGTTATGGCTTTATGACTAATTGATTCACTAGGAATCTTACCACAAAGAACTCTGCACATAATATGTACAAATGGTGAGAATCGGTCAGAAGCTGATTTTTTTATTAAGTCTTAAAGTGGAAAATGTTTTTCATAGAGGAAAATGCATTTAAAGGTCTCGACAAGAAATATAGTACTTTTAATTTATGACATATCTTGTAGGTTATAATTAAGATTGCTTGGCATTCGTACTCGAATATGTGAAAGTTGT